AACATATAGCATATCTAAGTACAGGAAGGGATAAAGTTGACCAACGAGGAGCACAGAGCAAAAAGAGGTGGGACTTAGGATGGGTCAATTGTCCCTTTAATTAGTTAGAAATAGTTACGTGATATTGTATTTATTAGGTCATTTAAATTACAACTCAAATTACAAAACAACATGATTTAGTGTGGTATCTATCCATTCAGATAGTTAGCAACATTTGAGCTAACTACATCACTAACAATTGTTGTAAATAAGCTAGCTAGTTACAGCAGATAATGTTTTATTAACATTAGTTTTCAGATGTAACTAGCTAGATAATTATTGATGTAGATTAGCTAACTAGTTATAACCCTGATCCAGACACACTAGATAGACATACAGTGTAGTGGTTTCATTTTCCTGGTGTTCTGTTTTTACAAAGTGTGCCTAAGATAGTAGTTATTTAATCATATAACTTTATAATTTATCCTCAGTTAATGGCTTCTTGACTAGTGGTCAACTAATTGTTTTTTTCAATAGGGGATACCAATACTTTTTAGGTTGGCTGATATATGTCGATATAAAACATAAGACGAAGAAAAGTCATGTAATAATTCAATTATTCCATGCACATTACAACCTAATATACAACATTAGCTCAGCCAGTAAGATGTTGCTTAGATGGAATTTCAATTAATTAATCTAGCAGAAAAATACATTGGTTTATGTTGTAGATTTCAGAACGTGATGTGTTTTTTAAGGATGCTACAGCATGTCAGAAGCGACATAATTCAACTGCATTATTATGACATAATATACTGGTATATTCCATTTTCCAGGAGCCCTTGCCTGGTCATACAAATTACCGGTAGGCCTAGTATTGAAACATTTTTCCTCCTTTTTTAATTACGTAGCTTTCATAATGATGTGATGCAGGTTGATTACAGGTAAGTAGTCTTATGGGACACTCCGTATTAGCTTGCTTTCCGCTGTTTGCAGCATCTCCGGTGATTTGACTACAGTTTACCACAGTTTCCCTCTAACCTAGGTTTATGTGGGGAATCTGAGTGAGGGGCTAAAATACAATAAACATTTTCCAGGACAACATAGATTAGTGAGTGTGAAGCAATGTTAAATGTTAACTAGCATGGAAAACCATGTAAAAGCATGATTCAAACCAGTGAGAAGATGTCTGAAAGGAAGACTCAGCAGCTGATACATGACAGGAACACACTGACCTGATAGCTACACAGTCCTTACAGCTTACATCCACATTTATCAGTTTATCTTTGAAGTTTAATATGCTTTTTCTCTCATTTTCATCAATCCCTTCTCCCCATTCTTACCCACCTGCCGTCGGCCTGTCTGTGCTGCCCTCCAGGGGACTCCCTCCCTCACCTGGAGAGCTCTGGGGCTCCATGGAGAACTCAGAGGCCTGGACTTGTGAGAGCGGGGCCTGGGCCTGCTCCAGTCCACCCCCCTCACTCCTCGACAACTCGTCCTCATCATCAACATCATCGTCATCATCCTCTGTCTCTCCGGTCGGGGTGTTCTCACACTCAGGCTCCTTCATGACTGGGAAAGATATGATCACATGAGGCCAGATATCTAGGGGGGAATTGTGCTGTTCCAGTTCTATTAGATACTCTTTCTGTATTGGCTTTACTTATTATTATTTATGCAGGCCTGTTTCCACGAACAAAATAAAACAGTGGAAGCTGTCAGGGAGGAAGAATGCCTGGGTGGGCTCCTTCCCACAGGTTCATTGATCTGATTGGTTAAAGTTACCCATGATAGACGGTGATAGACAAATCATTGATCGAATCACTTGCAGAGTAGTTCTTGAAAGTCCAAGGACGACTTCCCAGATGGTTCAAACCATCTGGAGCAGTCAGATAACATATCTAAAAGGCAATGCTTGGTTTGTCCAAGCACACTAGAATTCTTATTTTCAGATGATTATACACTAATGAAAACATAGCTATGAATATTATATTCCAATTCTGAAAATAGATCCTCCTAAATGTTACACACTGGTCCTTTAATATCTCTTGATTTTGATTGAGTTAACACTTTTTGACCCACCGCATAACTTTAACTTAGAGTATTTCAACAGTTCCTAACTTTTAATCCATTTTACTGGCTGGTGTTCCAGAGTGTCCCCAGTTGTGTGGTCTGTGATTGTTTACCTTTCAGCTCTGCAGAATACTCCATCGGCGCTATCCATTCGTACTCATACATCCGTTTGCTGCCAGAGGGTAGCATACTGAAGATGTCATCCGCAGTGGACTCGGAGTCTCCGTGCCCAGGCCCGGAGCCAGCCATCCCGCTGTCTGGCCACAGGTTGAGGGGGTGCGGGTCCGACTCTTGGCGAGCCTCCCTGTCGCTGCTGGCTTGGCTGCTCTGATCTCCGTCCATGTCAGCACACCCCCTCGAGTTCTTGTCTTTCATCAGATAGTCGCAAATAGCGTCTATATTCTCCTTCTTTACGCCGGGAATGACAGCTTTGACTCTTCTGGGGTCGACGCTGTTGTGTTTGTTGCCGGAGCTAAAGTCGGTTTTCTTGAGGCCAGCGTCTGCGGAGGGCTCTGCGGTCGCAACGCCCGGGAAAGGGTCCCTCTGGACTGTATCCAACCTCGCCTTTAATACTTCTATTTCTTCGCTTTTCTCTCGCAGCTCCATTTTCAGGACTCGTATCCTGATGCTGACCATTTTGCGGATCTCGGACAGCGCTGTCTCCAGCACCGCGGTGATGTTTCTGCCGAGGTGCTCGGTGATGTCGCTGACCGAGCAGAGCAGCTCCTCGTCGGGCTCCAGCTCCAGGAAATCGCCGTCGGCTC